AGCAAGGTACTTCGTTAATGAACCCCATTCCAACAGGGTAAGCTGGACCAGGTTACTTGAGAAAGCCATAAGAATATCACAGGAAAACGTGAAAGGTTCAACGGAAGAAAAGTGCAAACTCTTTAAACAAAATGATGGACACCAAAATTATAAATGAAAAGGAGGTCTGAGGAGTGAGGAGCGAGAAATGAGACAAATTATTAATTGCAGAGAACTCAAGGAAACCTAGCTAAATGAACCACAAAAATATTTTGAGCATCCAAATTCCAATCCATGATATTGACACATGATCAGGGTTGAATCCCTTTCCAGTAAAGAATGAAAAGTGTTAATGTATATATGGTATAGATTCGGATATCAATTAGTAATATATTGTAATCTCATAGATTAGGCCCGTTGATATATTTCACTTTTTAGCTTGTTCCTAGACTTGTATATATAGGTCATTGTATATTGTAATCTATGAAGATGGCACACATTCACACAATCATTTTCATTTCACTACAAGTTCAGGGTTTTGAGTTTGTTGGATGCCGTTTTCTCTCTGTTTGTTTCAACAGTGCCTATTTCGAATGAGTTTCGGGTCTCACTTTCTGCTTAAGTTGAAACATCATCGTCGGATCGGCCTCTCGGTGAAGTCCCTGTCCCAGCATCGTTGTGTACCCCACTCACTGCCAGAACTTTCTGTCTGTAGATGCGTGCCTGCCGTCAGTCGACTCAGTTTTCTATGATCTACTTGCATGCTTCCTTTTATATTCCATGCAATTTTACTTTGTCAGATTTCCATTTTTCAACTTCAAGGAGTGTCTTTGCTATCGGGATCTATTTTTTCAGGTTTTAATTTTTTGGGAACACTTGGAATAGACCATTTGTGATCTTTGTGTTGAGGACCTTGGGTTATTTTGTGGTCTTTGTTTGCAGGTGAACATTTTGTTGTGGTTCTTTGTTTGCAGGTGAACATTTTGCATTACCTCTTCAATACGAATGCTGAAAATAAGAAAGGATGTTGTGCCCATGTATTGTCTACTTCTGATATGGTCGCCATCTCAATCGAGTATGCCCGCGAATGTGAACCCACAGTCACCTACTCCTATTTTTGCCTGTAATTCAACTACATGTCTTGTATCTAAATGATTTAACTGGGACATTGATTATGGTGGTTCACGTAACTCAACCCTTTTCTCCACCTATGTCATTCTCATGCACCCACTTCACGTAACTCAACCCTTTTCTCCACCTATCTCATTCTCATGCACCCACTACTCATGTTTGGTGGATCCACTCCACATGCTCGACTCTAGTTCCATTCACCTTACACCTTCTACCTCACTATACTTTGTATTAAGTTTGCCCAACATTGCCTTTAACTTACTATCTATTAGTAAACATTAAAAATCCTTTAATTGTAGCATTTCCTTTTTCCCTGGTTATTGGTTATTGTGTGCTCTTCATGATCTTTCAACAAAGAAGATAATTGGTCAAGAACGTGAACCCGAAAGCTTTTATGTTTTGGAAACTCCTGAACCAAATTCTAATATACACCTCATTGGCACTTGAGACTCCAGAATCTAAAAAAAACCATGTCCCCAGTTTTCACACTTATCTACACCATATTGTGAGTTCCCTAAACATTCTCGTACACCGTTAGATCCTAGGATAAACAAGCAAGTCGCATCTCCTTTCATGCTAGTCCATTCTGATGTTTGGGGTCCTAGTGACAATCTGGATAACGATATGTTGTCACACGTTCATTGACGATTTTCATGAGAAGTCATTTTGAAATCTTTCAACATCTCCTCTCCTTTTGTGCTGTGAGCTGGAATTAAAAATCAATTTTCAACTCTGATTAAAATGTTACTTAGTGATAATGCTGAAGAATTGTTTTCAACAGCTTTTCAGTCTGATATGCTTGAACGTGACAATCTGCATGGAACTTCTTGTGATGACACACCAGCTTAAAAAGGGGTAGCTAAAGAAAGAATCAGCACCTTCTTCAAGTTGCTCGAGCATTGTTATTTCATACGGATGTTCCTAAGCTATTTGATGTTCTTTCTCCTACTTGTTTTCTCATTAATCACACGTCATCTGCTGTGTCAGGCAATGTTGTTCTGTTCTCTATCACTTTTCAAATAATCATTTTTCCCAAAGAACTCAAACTAAATAGTAGTACATGCTTTGTGCGGCAGACTCGACCTCATCGCACCAAATTAGATCCCAAAGCTCTGAAATGTCTTTTTGGGTCCTCTCATGTACAAAAGGTATATCGGTGTTAATCTCCTACACTTAATTGTTTGTGTATAGAGATGTTACTTTTAATGAACGTCTTCCATTTTTTCCTACTTTTGCGTTTGCATCCCATTGTCAACAAGAAAATGATATTTTAGTATATTCCATTCCACTGCCTAAGCTATCTTCTTCTAAGTCCTCGCCTCCATCTCGTCCTAATACCCATCCCCCTACTGCTAAAGTTCATACTCGACGTCCGTATTTAACTTCTCAAAGATTCCTGTACATGCTCAGTGGAAGATCCTACACCTACTGCACTAACCTCTGAACCACCTACAACCGATGACCTTCCTATTGGTCTCTGAAAAGGTAAATGTTCATGTACGTATATCATTGCCTTTGTTGTTTCTTACGATCATTTTTCAACCCCTTCGCATTCCTTTATATGCAACAATAGACTCCGTTTCTACTTTCAATCTTAAGACCGTTGGGAAAGCTTTGGCTCATTCTGGTTGGAGTGCCGTTATGATTGCGGAAAAACTGAATGTGCTTGATCATAATGGTACATAGACTTCAGTCGATTTACATTTTGGCAAAAAAGTGATTGCATGTAAGTGGGTTTTCACGGTTAAAGTAAATCCAGATGGCTCTTTGGCTCTTCTTAGGCTCGTTTGGTGGCGAAAGGTTATGCTCAGACCTATGACAGTGATAATTCCAATACTTTCTCTCTTGTGACGTAACTTAATGCTGTCCGGCTAATCATATCATATTGCTGGCCACTCACGTTGCTGGCAGCCACTTTATATTAGTCTCTTCACCAAAAAATGATATTAAAAATTCTTTCCTAGCAGGAGGTATAAATGGAGAAACCAACTAGGCTTTGTTGCTCAAGGGGAGTATGGGAAGGTATACCCGGCTTCATAAATTCATATATGGGTTGAAGCAAAGTCCTCGGGCTTGGTTTTATTGGTTTAGTCATATAATTTGGGAATATGGTTCAATAAGATGCAAAACTGATCATTATGTAGACGCTCTACTTTTGGAATCATTTTACTAGTTGTGTATGTTGATGATATAAAAATTACAGGAAACAATAGTGATGGGATTTCGGAGCTGAATTCGTTTCTTCATGCACATTTTCAGACGAATGACTTGGAAACCTTGAAATATTTTCTAGTAATGGAGAGAATGAGAAGTAAGGAAGGAATCTACCTTTGTTAGAGGAAATATGTGCTCTGTCTTCATAAAGAAACTGGGAAAAATAAGAACCAAGTCGTACAACACTCCGAGGACTCCCAATTTGCAACTAGGAAACGATGATGATAAGTCATTCCATGATCCTAAGCGAAAACGAAGACTTCTGGGAAAGTTGAATTATCTTACAGTAACACATCCTGACATAGCTTTTGCAGTAGGCGTGCCAAGTCAGTTTATGTCTAGTGCGATCGATAACCATTGGGCTCTTCTTGAGCACATTTTGTGTTAGCTGGTGGGAGCTCCATGACATCGATTGTTTTACAGGCAACATGGTGGATGTTTCACTAGCTTACTTAAGTATATTGTGGTGCACTACATCCGTTGCAAATATGATTAGGGTCAACTTTCATGGTACTGTATCTTTGTGGGAGGTTATCCAAGTTTTATGGAGAAGCAAGACACAAAATGTTATTTCTCGTTCAGTTGCACAGTATAAGTCTATGGCTAATTCGGTTCGTGAGATCATTTGGACAAATTAGTTACTTAAAGAGCTCGGGTTAGAGCTCAATCTTCTAGCAAAACTTTGGAGTGACAACCAAGCAATGCTCCACTTTGCATCGAATCAGGTATTTCATGAACAAACCAAACATATTGAAGTAGATAGCCACTTTGTTCGTGACAAGGTAAAGGAAGGGGTTATTTCTACAGGATGTATTAAATCAGAAGACCAGCTCGAAGACGTAATCACTAAAGCAGACCGGGGTACGGATTTGTAACAGGTAGGGCCTTATGGATCTATGTGATATATATATATATATATATATATATATATATATAATTAAAGATATCAATTGGTAATATACTGTAAGCTCATAGATTAGGCGTTCATATGTTTTCTTTGTTAGCTTCCACCCAGACTTTTATAAATAGGTTATTATATTGTACTCTATGAACATGAAATATAATCAGTTTCATTTATTTATCTACAAAAAGAAACAAAGGTAAATAAACAAGCAGCATTGATCAATGAAATGGGAAAAGAAATTCCTCCACAAAATTTGGAAACACTGTGGTATATTTCCCCCCTTTCAACGCAACGCAAACAGTAAAAAAGAAAAATTTATCCAACTATAAGATCATCTAAGGAGTTATAGAAGAGTGCATAACTTATAAGCTGGTAAAAAAAGCCAAAGGTGAAATACATACTCATGCTCAAGAGCTTGGGAGGCTGTTATTCTTTTTTTGGGGTCATACCTGCAAATGTAATCAGCCAAGTTTTGCATGTCAAGCTACTTCTCACAAATGGCTAAATGATGTGCAAAGTTTGAAACTATTAGGAGGGAATCAGAAACAATAAGTTAATGAAAAGTATAAAATTACTAATGAAGAAAATCAATAAGACAAAGTGGTGATAAGTCCAGCTTTCCGATATAATCAAAATTACAAAGTTAAGGATACTTCAGACTGTAGAAGACTGATTCGGTACTATGTCTATTATGATGAATAATTGCAGCAACAGCAGCTGAAGCTGATTTCAATACTATATCTATTACAATGAATAATTGCCATAATAGGTGAGATGAGCAATTACTTTGCAGATTTAAGATAATAACAATTAGTCGATATTAAAAAAAAAAAAAAAAAAAAAAAAAAAAAAAAAAAAAAAAAAAAAAAAAAAAAGGTCTTTCACAGAGACTTTAAGAGAAACATTAAGCACGTGCATAACTACATAAAGAATGACAGAAAATGCTTGCACAGACTTCTGCTCTATACACATACTCAAGCATCCTGGAGAGGAGGTCATATGCTGGACTTTTTGGAGAGAGGTGAACTACATTGTAAAGTCCAGCATTGTTGCTGCATTAATAAAATAAATTGAATGAGAAAAACTAGCTAACATGGCAAGATACAAAATGGACATGCTTCAGAAGAACCAGAACATTAACGGCAGCTAGCAGATAACCAATAGATATTAAAGACTTGTAAAAGAATAAAAAGATTAAGACTTACTATGTGTGCCCTTGAATATGTTGCACATCAGACTGCCAGTGGGGAAGATTCACCAGTGTTGGCCACTTTTCTGGAGTTGGATGCCCTGATACCACAAGCACTGATCACTAATTTGATCATATGGGGACTACAGAAAATGGCTTAGCAGTATAACATTCTCACCTAAGACCTTGAATATTTTGTCAAGTTGATCCAGCTGCAACATGAAATGAAGGTTTCAGAAAGGTGAACCAGCTATCGGGCTTAGTTAAAATGATTACATTAACATCATATTGTCTACTCTATTTAATTACATGAAGGCTACATAAAAGAGAACATTAGACCTGAAATGGATTGGGTGTCCCTTTTACTTCTTGACCTTGAAATAGTGGCTTTAAAGTGAGAAGCTCAGCAAAGATGCAACCCACAGCCCACATGTCTTTCCAGTTAATAGAAATTCACAAATTAGCAAACTACTTCCAAGTATGCATTATTTATCCATGTAAGAATAGAAGAGAGTCTGATGAAGCAATTACAAGCTTTGCAACTACAGTAACTCAAATATAGAGATCTTACCAACAGCACTTGTATAGTGTTTAGCTCCTAATAGTAACTCAGGTGCACGGTACCAAATGGTCACTACAACCTAAAGTTCACAAATTTAAAAGATAATCGGAAAGACAGCAATGGGTATATATATATATAAATAAGAACAAAATGTTGTCAGTCAAATTTTATTATAATCTATTTAAACATGTCAAAGTTTCCCCTTTATTTCACTTGCAAATCCAGATATATCAAGCAAACCTCTTGTTTAAGACTTTAAATTATCCATTTGAAGGATGAATGCAACATAGTATAAAACATGAGAAAAAGACATAACAGCTATAAGTAGAAGATGCAACAAACTGGCACTACTAAAAACACGATACAAAAGGGAAAACACAATTAGGCAGAACAAAAGGGATTTGTGGTTAAAGACTAAGGAGAAACGAACAGAAGACACTTACCCCATTCTCCGATAGTGGCTTTAAGGGAGCTTGGTAAATTCTAGCAAGCCCAAAATCAGCAATTTTTACCACTCCATGTTCTTCCCCATCACCCATTACCTGGTAATCAAAAGTTCCATATGAGTAAAAAAAGATAGCTAGAATTATCTAACGGGAAATTGCACTAGGAACAAAGCACAGTGAGAATTCTACATCACACTGATCTTAACTGAGAAATAGAAATAGAAGAGAGAAATAAACTTGAAGAACTTACCAGGATATTTGATGGCTTCAGATCTCGATGAACAATCCAATTACTGCACAAAACAACAATTACTACAAGAGTTAATCAACGTTCGCATCATTGTTATGCAAGATCATGATTCCACACAAGAATTATAATTGTGTCAAATATCCTCATGAAATGTGCTTTTATACTTCCACTAATATATAGACGAATATACTTTCATACAGTTAGTAGTCCAATGTACATCTAAAAGGCCATAGAGCTGAAACCGGATTTCATGGGATCCAGTCATAGAAATTGAAATAAGGGGTTTAAGTATTTCAAAACATTTGGTTCTGTTAGATTTATTGCTTAAAAAAAACTGCAACATCCTTCACGAATAAATCCGCCAAGCAACAAACATAACACTGATCTTGACAGTGTTCTATCAGAATTAGAGGAAATAGATCAAGCACGGTTCATAGCACTTATCCACGCAAGCAAAGAGTTAACTGGAAGCAAACTTCTCCAGAGTTTCTTTCCGTGTCAAGGACACATATCATATAAGTTCACAATGAAATGACAAATTACCAAACCACAAGCATTTATCAGATCTCCCTAGAAACAGCTACTCATTTTCGCCATCCAAGAACTACAGACTAAGCCAACACAATTATCAAAATCAATGCCTATTTAGTGGGTGATTTAGAGGTAGAAGTAGGATTATCCATCGTGACGCATACCAACAAGACTCGTAAGAGAACACACACCTGTGAAGATAATTTAGACCATTAAGAAGCTGCCACAGTATTGACTTAACGGTGTACTGATTGATCGCCTGGCTAACCTTATCCCTATGGTGTCTGATAATTTCCTGCCATGACACAAAAGAAACCAATCATCTTCTGCTACGAGTGGATTGATCAATAAATAGTTAAGTATGTAAACCCTTCTTAAGTTTTGAGTCTTTCTTTGGGAGGCAAGGATGATGGTTTTGAGTTCACCCATTACACAAGGACCGTCAATCTATAATGCTATGTGAAGAAAGTGAGGGGGTACGTAAGGGCCTAAAGTTTACTCACATAAAGATCATGCTCAGCATAGTCAAAGGCCAGGTAAAGTGACATGTCAGCATGATTGATGTGCACGTTTACAAGCTTCACCACGTTCTCATGGGGAATCTCCCGAAGCAACTAGAAAGTAGAGATAAATTAGTACAGTTAAAAAATGGAATGTACAATATTACAGACAGGACAAAACAGGCATAATAATGAAGGAAATGAGGGAAAAAAAGGAAAATTGAAATGCATAGACAAGCATATCATATCATAGATGTCAGAAAAATGGAATAGATATTGAACGATTTCATCCAATTCTCCAGTTTTGTGCTCAGTAGGGAATTTATGTGCGTAAGACTAATCTAACAATGTATAAATATCAACAGAAGTGCTCTAAAAAGATAATTCTCACTCTTAAAGATGGTTCCCCTGCATTTACAACTAATCAAATATAGAAATAAGAATAATCAAGTCAATCATCATACTTTCCATAAGAAACCCAGAGAAACTAATCCAGTCAAAAAATGGTTTCTTGGCTTTCTTTTTATCTTATTCTCATTGCTCCGCGACAAATATTTGCAAATGCTCAACACAAATCACCCCTGTTTTGTACCGCCATAATTCATAAAATTTTCTACGTATTCATCTCCCATTACCCATTTCCTCATTCTTCTCAGTAAATCAAAAGCAAATCGAACGATGCAAAACCTCGGCCAGCCAATAGGCAAACCCCATTGTGCACATGCATACCAAAATCACCACTCTATCATACTTCAATTACACCGTGCAACACCAAAATGAGGTGACACCCATGGTGAATATTTAAATAACATTTAACATTCTCTTCTACCAATTCGGGAAAAAAAAATAAATAAAATTAAATTAAATAAAAATCATCTTTGAACAGAGGACAGTATAATCCGTGTGCAACCAACCATAAGAGCAAACGGAGATGATAGGAAAAGGTAAGTAATACATATCAACACCCGAAAAACAGAACACATTCAGTCACTAACACACCATGATTTCACGAATGGCGGTCGGAGAAACTCCATCCCCATCTTTGGACTGCTTGAATTTCTTGATAGCTATGGATTTCGAGCGATTGGACTTAATCTTCGCCAAGAACACCAACCCATAAGTCCCCTCCCCGATTTTACCGATCACATCGTACTGCTCCAGCCACTCCGGCTTGCTGCTGCCGGAATTGCCCGCCCTTCCATCACCCATCTATGCGACCAAATTGGTATTGAAAATTTCCTGACAGACAAAATACAGCAGTTTATATGCTCATATTGCTCCCACCTGCTGAAGGGAATCTGCAGATTAGGAATTTGAGGCAGTTTTGGAAGCCATTCACGGAAGACAAATCTGATTAAGGTGTCCATGAAGAAGGATTATCTGTTTCTCCCTCATCTTAACCAAATCAAGGAAACCGGTGGCGATATGCAGTTTGCAGCCCTGCCTTGTATTGTACCTTGTCTCGACTCGTGTTTACTTTCGGGATTCGACAAACGTGAAGACAGAGAGAGTGAGATTATCTAGAATTGGAATGTGGGATTGTGGGATTGTGCCCCCTAAAATACTTTTTTCCATCCGAACTATCACGGTTTTGGCATATCACCATATAAACTATTTTTTTTTTACAAACCACATATGAATTATACAGGTTTGTCAATATGCCCCCTAAACCGGATATAAAAGTGGTTTAGGGGGCACATTGACAAACCCGTGATAGTTCATATGGTGGTTTGTAAAAGTATTTAGGGGGCACATATGGTGACAAAACAGTTTTTTCAGTCAAAACCACTTTTATATCTGGTTTAGGGGGCACATTGACAAACTCGTATAGTACATATGGTGGTTTGTTAAAAAAATAGTTTATATGGTGATGCGCCAAANNNNGTGATAGTTCGGATGGGAAAAAGTATTTTACCCTTTTTATTATTATTATTAATATTATTATTATATTATTTTCTTAATTGTTGCAAATAATGATTAATAACATTACACAAATCTGGCTTTGTGTAATATATAAGCTATAAATCAGTAAATCTACAATCTGTTTACAAGAATATATTTAAGATTTTTTTTCTTTTTTTTTCCCCCAATATCCACTAGTATATCTTATCCAAAATAGATCAATATATATTGGCTTAAGTAGTAAGCAGTTTGATATCCCTTAAGCAAGGTCTCGGGTTCGAATCTTTATGGATGTAGAAAACTTTTGTTGGGAAACTCGCCCTGCCAGGTGTGCGATCCGAGTGGACCAACGGATTAGTCGGGGCATATAACGTGGCTGGCTACCAAAATATAATTTCAGTAATTTTATTAAGAAATTTTTTTTTCATCTCCATCACCTCGTATTCAAAATGGCGAAGTTCAATATAGATTTCTATTTTAAAAATATTATATAAATATGAATATTATGCATATATATATATATATATATATATATATATATATATATATATATATAGTGAAATTATAGTGATTTATGTAATCCAATATTGAGGATCTGATTCGATATAATTTCAATAAAAAAAAATCAATTAAAACACAAATAACTCAATTTTAACTCAACTCTACTAGCATTAATATTTTCAATATAATTAACTAATATCAACTAATCATTCTTACACATCAAATCAAATTTAATTCAATATTCTTCCACTGTCATAATTTTAATTAATATCAAACGACATAATTTAATAAATAGAACACATAATTACAAACGGATTACAACTGACAACAGCCAGAATAAGCAGCTACACAACACAGCTGAAACCCTTGGGAGGAAAACCCGAAAGGCCACCTAGTCGAACATGCACAACGCACCCACTCGCTCCCAAAAGGAGAATACTAACTCCCAAAATGAGAATAAACGTCACACCAAAAAACACGAAAAAACACTAACACAAGAACTAAAAATACTAGAATAATCTCTCCCCATCGACAAACCCAAATCCTAGAGTCGTGAAATCAGACACGAAACAAGAAACTCCAGACCGAAGTCGGCTAACCAAAACCCGCTCGAAGACCACCAACTCCTCCAACGGCAGCAACCATCGGAGAATTCGGACCACTCACATCAAGCCTCACCCCACACCCACCGATGACCACAGGCCCCACCCCCAATCGAGGCCAAGACTGCCGCTGTCGATGAAGCCCGTCGATCCCAACAACAGAAATCGGCCACACAGGCGAAAGCTATCAGCGAGACACCGGCCCCAATACGCTGCCAAAGCAACTCTCAGAGCTGGCAATTGAGACAGAACCACCGACGCGACGAGCCCCCCATCCCACTGACGTGGCCACCGAACCACGGAGAGAAGCCACGCTAGGAGAAGACCCGTCAGAACTCCAGCCTACCACCGTCGACCCGAATCAAGAAGGAGGAAGCTAAAAAAAGTGCCGACAGGAGGGCCATGCGAGGAATTGACGGCAACCGAGATGGGAGAAAGGGTATCTGGGGAATTTAGGAGAAAGTGCGTTTTTAAAACTGAGAGTTTTATTTCTCTATTACTTTTACATCAAATCAATTTTAATTATTTTATTTTAAATCTTATTTTAATTAAACTTATATTCCCACTACCAATTAATCATATCATCTTTTTTTAAAATTAACTATGGTTAACAAAAGACTCATCAAATTCATATCCAATCATACCCTAAGCAGTCAACATTACTCAAAAAATAAGGAAATAATAGACATTTCACAACTATAACAAAAAATTAGAAAGTGCAAAAAAAAAAAAAAAAACGTCATTTCAAAACGAAACATAGCAAACTTTTCTTTCTAACGTAGTGATTATTACATAATTAAAATTTGAAACATGGATCATGAATCATCTTCTTAGAATTGCTCAATTAATATTCACAAATATGAAGGTTGATATCATGATCCAGTTCGTATATTTCACAACCTGAATATTGATTGTAACGCCCCACTTTTATTTACCGAAAACCATAATAAATTTTTCAAATTTATTTAAGAAACAAAATTTAGGCGCTACTCTTTTCCAAAACAATAATCAATACTTAACAAATTCCCAATACTAATCAATTATCAATACTCATAATCAATATTATAATTCCAATAATCAATAATGCAATCCAAGCAATCCAAGCAATCCAATAATCAATAATAATCCTAGGAAAAATACACCCTATCAATAATCCAATAATCAAATACTATAGAAAGCAATAATCAATAATTCAGATGCAATAATATCCAAGTTCAGTTTTCAAGGCGGAAGCATTAATCAATTTAAAGACCACAACTCGCATCCCTTCCGTCGTGCCACATAAACTAACCTGCATCCATGAAGAGCAGGTGGGGATGAGCACAATAGGAAAGTCGAGGTGCTCACCGCTATACAATAATTAATATCAATAATCATGAAAACAATTTAAGTATGGTAGCAGCATGTATACGAATCAATAATCGTCTCATCTCCTATCAATAATCAATTAATGAGTCTCATGTGCACACCTAAAGCAATAGACTACTGCCGAACTATATACCGAACGCCTTATGTAAGTCCTTACAACGAGTGTCCGGCCAGCAGGAGCAATAATCCACCCCGAATGCCAAAACTCACGTCTTGGCCTTACATACGAGGATCACCAGCCAAGGCTCACGCCCTGATTGCCAACAATAATAAAGGAGACTACCCGAAAGTACGTTCTATAGCTACGAGGATAACCGTTCGACGGCCAAAATAGCTCACATCGAAGGCTACATGGTTCACATGCATATATTGATTATAACACATCAAAAACAATTAATTAAGGCATATCAAATTTCACAATTAAAACTCACCTGGAAATTTCGGTGGAAAATTGCACACAAAAGCAAGTACGTAGGATGAGGCTCTACTCCTCAAACACCTACATTTAAGCAAGATAATTTATCAATAATCTATCTCAATACTCAAATTTAACATAAAACTCACACTTAATTAAAATTAAGGCTTAAGGATTTTAATCAGATTTTTCGTGGACTCGCAACTCTCTCATTTTTTTAAAAAATAAGACTCGGAGAACAAAAATGGAGTATCGGGACTTAAAATAATTTTCCCCAAATTTTTCTCATGTAAAATAATTTTTATAATCAAGGTCGGTACGAAAAACGAGCTTCCGGAACTCAAACTAGGTCTAAAAACCGAATTGGGTTGTTATGCTAAGAATGGGCCAAAGATGCCCAAGCATTTGGCCCCAACATGCTATAATTGGGCCGCACCAAAGGCTGCAGATCCGCGGGTTGGGACTGGGCCGGACGCGGGCTAGCGGGCCACCAGCTGCTGAGAGGGGAAACGGGTTGTGCGGGCCGAATTCGGGCAATATGGCCCGCGCTGCTAGAGCTGGTTAATTAAAAAAAGTAGAGCTAAAATACAAGGCCAGGGATTGAACCCGCAACCTCAACCACGAATGGTGCACAGAAGACCACTGCGCCACACGCTGGAATGCGATTCTTAAGTGAAAACTTGAGCTATAAAATGATAAACAAAACCCTGGGACCTGAAAAAAAAAAACAGAGACCGAAACTATCGAACAGGGATGCAACACAAGTTCCCCAATTGTCGAATTTCAACATAAATTTTACGAGGGTGTTCGAACATTTAGAGCATCTCCAAACCATACCCTATATCCAGCGGAAACGGCACCTTTGGAGGAAATTCATCTACAACCCAACCCTCCATCTCTGCATAAAACTCCAAAGAAGTTTTGTGAACGGTTGGCGCTATCACATTTTTCCTTTTTTTTTTGGTTAAAATTGATGTTGGGCTGTATTTTGGCCATTTAGATGTAATGAGTGAACTTTTTTTTTAACTATATAGAATGAATTAATTAGTTTTATGGATTAAATTAAAATATTTTATAAATATTTTAAACTTAATTATTATAATTAATATGGTAAAATTTTAATTAGTGTCATGGAATTTTAAAATTGGAGAAACTGTAAAATTGTAGAAACTATATTAAATTTTTTATTGAATTTTAATTTTTTATTTAAGTAGTATAATGAAATATTGAATACTTTTATTAATTAATATGATAGAATATCAATTAGTACTTAAATTCACTTAAATAAATATTTCAAACAAACAAATTAAAATTACAAAATAAGGATAAACATTCAACTCACTTAAAATTAACGTACAAACACTAAAATTAAAATCACAACATAAAAATAAACTAGAATACCCATTTTAAAGCTCACACAT